TTCTTCTTCTTCTTCTTCTTCTTCTTCTTCTTCTTCTTCTTCTTCTTTTACCACAGGGGGCCCCTGAGAGACTCTATCTAGCAGTGTATCAAAGCAGATACTAAGACTCATAACTTCGGCAGAGGGCAAGGAAACATACAAAAGAAGGGGGAGTTTGTATGATGTGGAAAGGATAGGAGCTCCACAAGGACCAAATATATCCGGGCACAGGGGTCTTTTCTGAGACTGATACTGCACCAAGGACCATGTATGGATATAACCTAGAAACTCTGCATGGATGAAGCCCGTGGTAGCTCAATAATCAACTGGTTTCCCATAGGAAGGGGAAAAGGGACTATTTTTGACAGGAACTCAATGGCAGGCTCTTTGGCCTCCCCCCCTCCCCCCACAAGGGAGGAGCAGTCCTGCTAGGTCACAGAGAAGGACTTTGCAGCCAGTTCTGAAGATACCTGATAAAACAGGATCAGATGAAAGGGGAGGAGGTCCACCCCAATCAGTGGACTTGGAAAGGGGCAGGGAGGAGATGAATGTGGGAGAGAGGGTTTGGGAGGGAATGAGGGAGCAGATACAGCTGGGATACAGTTAATAAAATGTAACAAATAAATAAATAAATAAATAAAAATTTTTCTTCTATCGGTAGCATTGTTCCCCAAGTAATTGTTAACTACTGGGCTCTATCAAGAATGTCTGAGGATTCCATTTGGACTTTGATCTAAGGTTGTGCTGTAGATAAGTTTATCACCAGAGTGGAAATGGCCTTTGAATTATCTTCTAGCTCTTGAGTTGTGGCATTGAGCTCATCTGCCATGACTTCTCTGTAGGTGATTACATTTAGAACACACATGTCTGGAAAACAAAAACAAAACCCAGTGCCAATTGGAGGTCTTTGGCTCTACTGTTACATAATCTGCTGGTACCGTTGATCCAAATGTGTAGGATGATTTTCCTGGAATAGACTATACAGAATTTGAAGAATTCCTCCATCTGGATACAAGAGGGCTTCCACAGTAAGCATGGTTGCAGCTTTGCTCTGAGCTCATAAAGGGGTCTTTGGGTTGTAGGATGTGTAATTCCAGCGCATCCAGCTTTAAGAAAAACAAGTCATAGAGCTAGAGACATGGTTCAGAGATTCAGAATACTGGTTACAATCCCAGAGACCTGAGTTCAATTCTCAGAGCACATACAACCATCTATAACCAGACCTAGGGAATCTGATGTCCTCTTCTGGGTTCTGTAGGTATCAGGCATGCATGTGGTACATAGATATATCTTCAGACAAAACACTCACATCCATTAATGTAATAAGACAAAGTAAAAGAAGGAAGGAAAAATCAGTCTCTTCAGAAGAAGCAAGGATGTGGTAAACAGGATGAATCTCTTACACTTCCATTCTTGGTTTTCAAGTTTTAGTTTCAGTGACCTGTAAATTTGGGTCTTTATTATTCATTAGAAGGCGAAGAAATGGTTTAGTTATTTATTTACCAGTTTTCTATCTTGCTTCAACTTTGATGTTTTAATCTAGTGCCGTCACTAAAATTGTAACTTATATAACATGAAAAATAATTGTCATCTTTGTCTTAACTGCTACTACCGCATCTCATTGATTTTCTTCTTCAAAGTGTTATGTACTCATGCTTTTCCCATTCTCACCATTTTTCCTCTAGCACACTCTCTTATCTCTGATTTAGACTTATTCTGATTTTTATCTAAGTGTCTGTGAGTATTCACACGTGAGTACAGCACCTGTACAGACCAGACAGGGCACCAGACCTCCTGGAGCTGGAAGTAAACCTGGCTGTGAGTTGCCCAGTGTGGGTGCTGTCAACCAAAGTCTGGTCCCCTGCAAAAGCAGCAAGTACTCTTAGCCGCTGTACCCGCTTTCTATCCACTCTTACCTCCAACTTAAAGTGTGAAAGAAGTATCTCATTGGCAGGGCGCTGACGTGGGGACACACTGTAGGTGGCTTACACTGTCGCCGATAGCTCACAGGTTAGAGTTCGCCACCGCCAGACACAAGGAGGTTTTAATGTGCGCTAACTCTCTGCAACCCTGTAAAATGGGTTCAGTTAGAATCCCCTTTTCATGGACGAAGAAACTGGGACAAAAGAGTTTGATAATTTGCTCAGAGCCCTTGCACTGATGCCCTGAAGAGCTGGGAGTTGAGCCCAGTCAGTCTCTGGAGCCTGCTGTCTTTTTCTAGATATAGATTCTATCTTCCAGGTTCATTGGCAGAAGCTTTTTATTCCAGTCAGTCTGAAGAGAGGAGAGGCCTTTAGTCAGGGTTTCAGAGTAGGAAACTTTAAGTTTGTGTGTGTGTCGGGGGGAAGCAGACGCTGTGTTCTGCAGTGAGGTAGGATCTCGGGGAAGGCGCCTCTATTCTTTCCTGAGTTCCAGTCTTTCCATCCCACATCCCTTACACCGATCAGAGTGCTATCTTGCTTTTACTGGGTACAGTATGTTTTCTCCTACACTGATTTCATCATGAGGCTGACAATTCCCAGTCTTTGCCAGACTATATTTAATGAGCATTTGTGTGTGTGTGTTGTGTCTTGTTCATAGCAAATCTTGAAATCTGGTTAGCGGCATGGGGTTGTATTTTCTCACTGTCATTTACTTTTTGAAAATGGAGTCATTTAGTTGAAACCATCCTCCCTTGCTCCTGCCATACAGGCTAGGTTGGTTCTGTCAAAGCCAGAGACGATTATGCCATTTCCTCCTCAGGATTGGCTTTCCTTAGAGAAGCTTTGGCAATTTCAGCCCTTCTGTGGTGATGCTGGCCTATGTATAAAGACATTAGTTTGTTCTAGGAACAAGAGGATCGGAAAATTTTCCTGTTCGTCATCCCAGTTGGAGTGGGTCCAGGCAGAGGTCACAGTGCCACCAGCTCCGCATAGTCTCAGAGTCGTGTTGGTGCCTTTAGTTTAAATTAGGCAGTGGCGTTAAATATCACCAAATTGTATTTATGCCCCTTTCTTGATCAATTTGTCCATTTCCTTTCTAGACCCTTTGTGTTCCTTCTGCTTCACTATGGGGGAGGGAGGGAAGGGAGGGTCTCACTCCCTGTATCTAGGTCAGCTGGCAGCTTTTGGCAGAGTGTGTCAAAGTTGCTGAGAGAATGAACAGGACTTAGTGTCAGGCAGACCTGTGTTCAGACCATCAGACACTTTCTAGATGTTCCTGCCTGAGGGTGGGGCCCAACTTCAGATTGTACACGGGTCCATGGCGCACGTTCATCACTTGATTCTATTTGATAGTGACAGCTGGGAGTCCAGTCCCTTTCTTATTCTATGGTGCTACGAAAAGAGAGAGAGAGAGAGAGAGAGAGAGAGAGAGAGAGAGAGAGAGAGGGAAAGTCTCCTCATGGAGTCCAGTACTCTGTGATGAGTTTTTTTTTCTGTTCTTATTTTATTAGCATATGTTAATAGCAATTACACATAAAATATGTTTGCATAATATATTTGGTTCTTTTTAAACATTTTTATTAATTACAATTTATTCACTTTGTATCCCCCTGTACCTCCCTCTCTCCTCCCCTCCCAATCCCACCCTCCCTCTTCCTCATCCATGTCCCTCTCCCAGTCCACTGATAAGGGAGGTCCTCCTCCCCTTCCCTCTGATCTTAGTCTATCAGGTCTCATCATTATTGGCTGCATTGTCTTCTTCTGTGGCTTGGTAAAGCTGCTCGCCCCTCATGGGGAGGTAATCAAAGAGCAGGCTAATCAGTTCCTGTCAGAAACAGTCCCTGTCCCCATTACTATGGAGGCCACTTGGAAACTGAACTGCCATAGGCTACCTCCGTGCAGGGGTTCCAGGCCATCTCCATGAGTGGTCCTTGGCTGGACTATCAGTTTCAGAAAAGACCCCTGTGCCCAGACTTTTAGGATTTGTCGCTGTCCTTGTGGAACTCCTGTCCTCTCCAGGTCTTACTATCTCCCACTTCTTTCTTAAGATTTCCTGTACTCTGCCCAAAGTTCGGCTATGAGTCTCAATATCTGACTCAATACCCTGCAGGGTAGAGCCTTTCAGAGGTCCTCTGTGGTAGGCTCCTGTCCTTTTCCCTGTTTTCTCCCTCCTCCGATGTCCATCCTCTTTGCCTTTCTGAATGGTGATTGAGCATCTTAGCCAGAGTCCTTTTTCCTGATTAGCTTCCTTAGGTGTACAGATTTTAGTATGTTTATCCTGTATTATATATCTAATATCCACTTATGAGTGAGTATATACCCTGTGTGTCTTTCTGCTTCTGGGATACCTCACTCAGG